TAATGAATCATCTATCATTATCATGAAATAAATTCTTATATCAATTTTTCAATGATACTATACATACAAATATAAATTATCTTATTATAATTGTATTAAATTTTAATTAAAGCTATCCCTAACAAATAGTTGATTTTTAGCAACATTAAGATTTCACAGTATTCCCAATGAAAATATTTGATTTTTGCAATAATTAATCGTGCAAAAACATCAAACTTTCTTTGGCCAACTTTAGAAAAGAAACTTTCACGTTTTAAATTATCTTCTTTGTATGTTTGTATGGAAAATATTTGAATTATTGTATATATTTGAATTGCTTTTCATATACATTCTTTTCATAGAACATATTTAAATGAATTATTCAAGTTAAATTGTTCATTTTTTCACATTTCATCAGTTTTATACAGAACATACTCATCTTATTATTAATGATAAATAATGATAATATATTTGACAGTGTTTTTGTTTTCTGCCAAATTCCACTTGAATTTTTTTTCTTTTGCAAAATTACTTTCCTGCACTAATTTTCTTATTTATCACAAACCATAAATTTCAATAGATTTGTAACTTATCAATAATATCAGGTATATTTCCTTCCATTTATCTTATCTTTCCAATCATTTCATTTTTATTAATTAGTTTTTTCTTAAAATTAATATCGGAAATATCACGTAGTAATGACGTTCATGCGTGAAAAGAAAAAAAAGAAAAAGTTGGCAAAAAATTTCCGGATTTTATCACCCATCCATTTCATTTCTATCCATTCCTTCCTTCTTTCTCCCCCTCTCTCTCCCTCTCTCGCTTAACTACCATTCCTATTATCACCCATATCTCTTTTGTTTTCATATTCTTCTCTCATATACATTCTTTTTGGATGCTGAACAATTATTGGAAAGTGAGAAATTTTCAATTTTGGATCAAATTGTTTGTTGATTGACTTTCCCTTCCTAATCTTCTCACTCTTCTTCTTTCACTTCATTCTTCCTCTCTCTTTTCACATTCATTCTTTCTTTCTCTCTTTCTTTTCTCTTCCTATCTCTCTCTTTTCCCTCCCTCTTTCCTCTCCTCATTCGTCTCTCTTCTCCCTTTTTTCTCATTTATTTTCCCACTTTCTCTAATCTTTTCTTTATATGCTTTCTCCTTTTTCTCCCCCTTCTCTCACTCTCCCTTTTAAAGATTTCAATGGGTATTTCAATGCAATTTTGGAAACTAAAAAATTGGATTAAAATTTTCGTTTCCAAATTGTGAAAATGACTTTTCATTCAAAACTTCTATCAAATCAAAAATTTAATGAATAGCTTTTTTTCATACCACACAACGATTCAATTACTTTAATTGAAATCGAAATTGCAATTTATGAATAAATTTTGCAAATATTATATGGAATAATTTATGTATTAAATTTTTGATTACAATTGGAGTATTCGTCTGTTAATAAAACATTCTTTAGAGGGGGAAAGAAAGAGAGAGAGAGAGAAGAAATATTTAATTTTAAATGGGAAATTCTTGATAATCGTCCATATTATAAATATTTCGGTAAAAATGGGAAAAAAAAACGAAATTTTCTGGATATATCTTCTTCACATAAATTATGCAAAAAAAAAAAACAGTCATATCTATTAGAAATATTTAAATACAGATATATTTTTTTCATTAAATTTAATTTGTTTAAAAATATGATCAAATTGAGAAAAATTGAGGTAAAAAAGCAGAAAAAAATTTAACCTAAGACTTTTATCAGTTAATGCGTTTGTTTTTTTTTTCAAATATTTTAACTGAAAATTTGTATGCCGCAAACTTTACTCAAATTGTTAACATTCTGAAATAAGTTAGTATAACATAAATTAGAAACGATTAAACTATTTTTCTATTTTTGAAGTTAATATAATCAAATTCGTACGATTAAATTATTTACGATCGCATTTATCTTCATTTCTTCTTTTCTTTACAAAATAAAATTTACAATTATTTCAATAAAATGATTTATAATTCGAACTCTTCTTTTTTTCACTTTTTTTGTAAAATAATTTTCAATTCATTTTATTTTACTGCTTTATATTTAAAAAAAAAAAAATTCCTTGGCTAATAAGACATATTGTTATGCATTTCAAAATCGGTCAATTCATTTTCTTTTTCGGCTATTGTCAGTTGAATGACACCTTTTAGGTTAACATTAATTGGTATTTGAAATATTAATAGAATAATTCTAATTAACGATATGGAAAAAATCCATACACCATTATAATGTTTACAATTTTCAGATGAAACGATCAAATGTGATTTCTTATTGCATCTCTTAATGAGTTTCTCTCTCTATTTGATTATTTAAATTGTTAACTTTCAATCTGTTCAAATATTTTCTTATTTGCTAAAGTTAAATTTGGATTAATTTTTTTTTTTATTGTCAGCATCAAATCATTACAGTAAATAATTTGATAGAATTTGTATTATTCACGTTTATTTTTTTTTTTTTTAATTTGACGATAGAAATATTTTTTGCGCTAAATGATCACCGAATAAGAACTAATGACGTACATATGTGTTAATGTTCTGAATATTATGTTATTTTTATTCCTGTCCATGTAATTTTAAACCGTTTACTTCAAATTTCAAATGTTATTTTAATATTTAAATTTAATTTTAGAAATAATACTGTACAGCATATGTGTTTATAATTTTATCATTACTTCAATAATTTTACTTATAATTAATTAATCTTATTAATTTTTATATATTTATATATTTCTGATTAATGTTAATGGTTTCATTTATAAGTAATTTTAAAGCTGCATATTTATAGGTTAGTATGTTTTAGCAATAGCTAAATTATTATTGTTTCAGTTATCGTGTGCCAACTGGTACAAGCGCTGGTTGTGTTGGTGCTTGCGGTAGCGGTGGTAGCTATGCCGGACCACCATTACCAGCACCATTGGGCATTGGAGCAGGTGGAGCTTATAGGCAGCAACCAATCGCCTATGTTAGCAGTGGAAGCAGGACTGTTTATGGTACTTTGAAGTTTTCTTCGTTCCTGAAATAGTTTAGAAATTTTAAACGAAATGGGAGGTATAAAAAGTGCATTTTGCATGAAAGAAAAAATTTCAATGAAATTTGTTTAAATATAAGCAAGACTACATTATTCATTTGGAAATACTAAAGTATTATTAACATATTTGAAAACGATAAGAACGGATTAATTTTTGAATTTACTTTCTTATTTTCAAATAGATTTTTGATCATAGTTTTTTTATTAAATATGATTGAATGAGAAAAAATTTTAATTATATTTATTTTATATAACTCAAAATTATTACCTATTGCTACACCATTTGGTGACAGAATAAATTATGATCAGAAA